GTTATGGCTGATCGGTGTATTCTACAGCTTTTTTCAGAGAGCGACCCCGACGTCTCACTGTCTTCCTCACCTGTCATAGTCAGGGGTGTGTCCAGGGGGTGGTACCCCTGGACTGCCCTCTACCATCCTTTTGTTTTATATAAGTACAATACAGTTCACACCTGAATACAGGGATTTAAAGACTACATTTAATGAAGATGCACATAAATATCATAATATTATCTAAGTGTTTAATGAAACACAGACCTCATTAAAAGATCACTTTTGGTAATATCCAAATAATGAATACATACAAGTACATGCGACAGTGTCAAAGATAGACCTTAACAACACCAAGGGGTAGAAAATGTTTACAAAATCAAAGTTGCATTTCAAAATGTAAGAATAAACCCCTGTAAGCTGTCTCATTGTAAAATTGTAATAAATAAACAAAAGATATTAATAATTCATTATATACTGGCAGCAATAAAAATTGAGCAGAACATTGGCTGCAGGACCACAGTAGGGGACAAATCTGTTAATACTGCTACAACAGAGGAAAAGGGCTCGTTTAAACAAGTCCAAGAGGTGATGGATCATCGAAGAGTTTTTAATTTCCAGTCAGCTTCTGTATTCAGGCACAGAAACACAGTCCAGTCTGCTCTGTGGCTGAGCTCGGGTCCACGCTGACCAAACCAGGAGACAGTTCAGTGGGAGTCGTAGGAGAATTAAGGATTTGATTACAGTCGAAGCTATCAAAGTAGTCCAATGAAAGGCCTCTCATTGCTTTGGCGGTCCAATCAGGGTGAGTCCTGAGCTGGAGGATGACGTCAACAGGTGTCTTTTGAAGGATGAGAGAGTCAAACGAAGCACCGCGGAAGAAGGCCTGCATCTTGAAACTCTCCAGGTTACGAAGCCGGTTCGCTGGATTCTTGCACAAAAGCTGCAGCAATAAAGAGAAACTGAAACAGATGAATACGACAATTCAGAGGATTCACAGTGTATACATTAGAGAGAAGACAATGATATTTACAAACCTCAGTGAGGAGTAAGATCAGAGCAGAGCTGAAAGTCTCAGGTAGGACATAAGGAAAAACTTTGACCTTGTGAAACATGGTACTGTGGTCCGGCTCTGCAGGTACTGGAAACTATAAGCGAAAGGAAAATAATATATAATAAATATTACATTTATGTGTTTTAGATGCACTCCTTCTACCTCATTAGAAATG